TAAGGATTGTCAGTAAAAATGTTGAAAGGTTTTCTTTACTCACTATTTCTGAGTTCTATACCAGAAAATAAGATGTTCGTGTATACGACATGCTTGTTTCTTTGCGCATAAATTATGTCTTGTATGTGATCTTGTTCAATATTGATTGGTTAAACTCTTCATGTTACCCCACAGAAAAAAATAAGATCCTAACTCCTCAAGGGCTAAAAAATTAATCCACTGCAACCTCTTAAATGAAAGTCAAATATAGTATGTTATTGAATTGTAAATAAAGCTTTATAAAATACAGATATGCACTGTGTTCTCATAACTCCTCCCTCCTTAGAAGAGAACTGACATAGTGGAACGAAATTCTGGTTCATTGGGTAGCGTAATGTTGATCATCTAAAGCAGATAGAGAATAGTTTCATTACTAGTTTACTTTATCGGAACTGGAACAAGATTTTCATCTGAATATCATTAAATGTTCTCATTGTATTATTAAGGGTTTGTTGCAGTCAATAGGTGCGGCATTGCTTCAATTTCAGGATGAATTGTAAATCATTCTTCAATCAAGTGGTTAAGGTCTGTGAAGATAATGATTCATTAATATAGGCTTTACATCCTTTAGGAATTGTAAATAGGGTTAGATATTTAATTCCTGTAAAGCTATTTTGATCTCATTAATTGGCTGGTCAGTGTTTCTGGATGATTTGTTTCATAGAATGTATGGTTAATATCAAAGAAGTGAATTGACAGTGGCTAGATTGTAGCTTCAGATCTCAAACCTCGTGATTTGGTTTTTCTTCTACTTGTAGACATATTTCATTTCTAATTAATTAATTGTTATGTAGTTGGAGAGTATAAGATAGAGAGAGTTGTTGACATGGATTGGATAGGGATCAAACTAAAGAAATCAGATTGTAGTATTGGAACATTTCTCAGGTACTCGGCAAGAATTCTCTTCTGCTAATTACAGAAGAACTTTATACCAATTTCAATGAAGTTGTACAGTACCTCCACGAACAGATAGTAATGCAGATCCAATACAGATTTATTGCCAGTTAGATATTAACAAGACCTCTTATTTTCTATTCAAACGGATTTATAAAAAAAAGTAAGCTTTTGCCGTTTAGAAGATTTAAAAACAGCAATTAATACAGAAAAATACGACTTGTGGGCAATATTAAAGTTAATGTTAATTTAAGTTAACTTAGCAAAAAATGTACAAACATGTTTAACGAAAATTAGTTAGGTACTTTTTTACTTAATATGTCATTTCTTTTACCATAAAGCTTTATTTGCGACACGCTGCGCTGTTGTGATTTTAGTAACCTGATTTAAATTACAAAATAAAACGACATTTTGGTGTAAGTATGTAGTACACACAACAATTACATTCAGGATTATTTAAAATTACATGATCATAACAGTTGCAAAAAACAAAATATTTAAATTAAGCTGACAACAAAGCGCCTGTCAACTTGTCATTTATAATTAGAGATTAAGAATACCACTAGTACTGACGTCACCAAACAAGACAGCGGCAGATGTAAGGCTTTGTGGTGCAGGCGGTAACGGTCCACTATATACGTACATTTTTCTGCACAGCAGCGTATGTTACGATATTCTTGAAGAGTAGAAGTTGCCTTTGTTACACTTTTGCATCAAAATCTTATTTAACTCGTTCGCATTTCCTAGTCGAGTCAATGAATTAAAACACTATCTGGCCATCCCCCGTGCATATTTCGCAGCAAAAATTATTCCCCGAAACTTCTAATTACTTATGTTAATAAAACGACTGATTAAAACCGCGAAAGACCCCGTCGGCCGTCCGCTAATTGAAATTGATGTTCGAAACGAATGTCCACGTTAGATAATCTGCCCCCTAGGGGGTTCGCTCATAAGTTTTAGTGGAAAGCGGTGTACGGCGATGTATCAACGTTATATCAGAACCGAACCATCACTTGTCAAATGGATAATTTAGAAATTGCCTTGTTATTCTCCGTCCCAGTCGCGCATTATTTATAACGCCGTTACCGGTTATTATTGGAAACGGCCTCTAATTCATTACGGCAGAAACAGTGGATGTCACGGCGTTGCCGTCTTCTTCCCGATACCCCTCATTACGTTACGGGGCAAATTGTCGGGTACATCGATTATCGCCATTTGGAAACAAACAGTGCGTTTGTGTGATTCAATAAATTATTAATATTAACTGCATCTAATAAATCAGAAACATAAAATCCAGTTTCAAGCATAAATATATACTTCTAATAAAATAAAAATCAAGTTGATTATGACACCTTTAATGTCTTATACGTACTATAAGTTAAAAGGTATAAATTCATTTTAAAGCAAAGATATGGATTTAAAGTGTAAATATGGACTTCCAATAGAAAAAAATCAAGTTGACTACGATCACAGTTTCGATCTTATAGATTATTATAAGTTAGAAATGCAAAACCTACTGTAAAGCATAAGTATGAACTTCCAATGGAAAAATATCAAGTCAACTATGGCCACAGTGTCGATCTAATAAGTCCTTATTAAGTTAGAAATATAATAAGCGCTTTAAAATAAATATGGACATTTAATAGAAAAAAAGAAATTGTAAACGAGGCAAAAGTTGCGTCGAATTAGAAATGTTTTCGAAATATATTTCCACTTAATTAAGTACCTACTCGTTTTGAGAATTTACATGATTTAAATTTTTTACTTTAATAAATTCCTCTAAATTTCCCGAATATGCAAACAAATTTCCCGAAAAATCGTTTGAATGTTTATTACAAAAGTATCCGAACGTTTTTGAAATAGATAGATTGCAAGACGAAATTCATATTTTTGTACGGAGGCGAACAATTTCGTAATTTAGAAGTTCAAAAAACGAAAGAAATATTATACAAGGAATTTAAAATAGTATTTGCGGAAAGATAAATTGTTGTCTCGACAAAAAGAAATTTTTTGTGTCTTACGCACATTAAGACTTAGAAATACGATAACACAAGAGCGCTTTAAACAACTTATCAGTGATGACGATAGAAAAAGAACTATTGTAAAATCTTAGTGCCGATCCTCAATTTGATGAAGTAAATAAAATAAGTAAATTTGCAAAAAAGGACGGACGAATAAACCTGTTTTATAAAAACATTCACTGTTTCAAAATATTTTGTTAAAAGTGGAGGCAAACGAAAAGCTGGCGGCGTTGTTTTTTATGTAAATAGATAAATTGGCTGGCTAAATTTGTTTTTATATTTTTAAATAATTTTTTAAATTCAAAAACCAAGTAGGAACAATTTGTTTTCTGTCAATTAATTTTATTGTAAAAACAATTTTTAAAGTTCTGATATTATTATTAATAATATAATTTTATAGTAGGGCTATTGGCAAAGATCTCCATAATAAAAAATGACGTGGAAATTTATTCCTATTTATTATTTGAGAGCGTATTATTTTTTATAACATTTGAATGAAAATCCTGCTCGAGAACATCAGTTTTTCTATATTTTAAGTGCAACTAAAAATTTCCAGATGCATTTAGTTGTTTGACCTTGAAAATTATTTTTTTCTTGCCACTTAGTAAAAAAGCCACGGGCCTTACCTATTCACAATGTCACGAGCCGCCACTGGCATAAGCATGTATTTCCAATATGAAAAAATCAAGTCAACTATGGCCACAGTTTCGATCTCATAAGATACAAATATAATACACGCTTTAAAACGTAAACATGGACTTTTAATAAAAAAAAATCAAATTGACTGTGTCGATCTTATATGTAGGCCATAAGCTAGAAGAGTATAAAACGCATGTTGAAGCATAAATATGGACTTAAAACATAAATATGGATCTCCAGTAGAATGAAATCAAGTTGCCTATGACCACAGTTTCGATGATTACTAGTTATTTTCCTGTTTGAGTAGACTAACAATTTAACCAACTTATAAAATCTACATTTTTAGTTTTAAATAAGCTTGTCGCACAGCTGAATAAATTTAAAAACACGTTTTTCAAAAAAAAAATAATGTTTTAAAGTATAGGAATCTTTTGTTCGGAATAAGTTTTTATATACAGTGTAACCATAAAAAATTTTAAAAAATCATTAAAATATAATTTTTTAATTATTATCTGAGGAATAATGGGGAGGCGTAGCTTCCAAAATATTTAAAATTTCTACGTTAATGAGTTTTTCAATGGATATACTGTATTTAATAAAAATTGGATTAGGAATTAAATGTACCTATGTATTTATCTAATTTCCAAAACATTCAGTGGCGTCGACATTTGACCGTCGACAGTATCTCCTACTCTATCTCTGCCAGTGGTTGGCAGATTTGTATATCATTTCAGGAAGTTTAGCCTATAATTAGCCATTAGCCTAAGTTTCATCTACATACGTCAAGCAACATCAGAGACCTTTGAATACATATAATTTTTTTTTTATTTCAGCACCCTCTATCTCGAAAGCTATTGTCTGTACAGTTTGATTCATTAATTATATAAAATAATATAAATAATAAACCCTTGAAATTATAACAGGCTGAAAAATCGCCCTGTATGATCGAATAACTGTTTGTTGTCTTTTTAGTTTAGAGATTTACATTTTTTATCTGCTCCTACGATTTCTTGTAAAATTAAAGTCGTTGGGGGAACCTTTTTTTGCAATTTTTATTGATTACATTTTTTCCATATATAAATTTTCTTTTCGAAAAACTCCACGGAAAGAAAAGCAGACCTTCAAAAACAGCCCAAATCTACCTTCCACGAAAAATCCGATAAGATTTTCAGAGACCAAATAATAATATCCTAATCATATCCAAGTACATAATTTTCCTACAATTTTTTATTTTCCCATCATAACAAAATCAAAATCGATCATGAGAAACTTAAATTCAACCAACCCATCTGCTCTTCAGCGTATGCAATTTCAGTAAAATCCACCCCTCGCGGGATAGGGGTTGCAGTAACCGAAACTCCACCTCGCGAAACCCTAAAAAGTCCCTAATCTCGTTCTCTGTTTCAGGCGAAAAGCCCCACAAGTGCGTCGTGTGCTCGAAGGCCTTCAGCCAATCCTCCAACCTCATCACGCACATGCGCAAACACACAGGCTACAAGCCCTTCTCCTGCGGCCTCTGCGATAAGGCTTTCCAGAGGAAAGTCGATTTGAGGAGACACCGAGAGTCCCAACACCCCACAGTGCCGGAATCCGTCATCAGCAGTGTGTACAGACCGACAGACATCGATGTGAAGCACGAGATCAGCAGCAGCAGCAGCTAGAGAGGTTTTCCATGAGTTACCATACATATTTCTCGAACAAATCTGTGTGAATTGATATATTTCTTATCAGAGAAGGGTGTGGGGATGATAACAATAAATGATACAAGGTAATCCTAAAACCAAAGTTCGTTTAGAATTTAAAAGAAGCCAGACAAATAGAAGCGGAAATCAATAATTTGCTTTATAAAACAAAGAGGGTCATGAACTGATCCCTGAAGTACACTGTATCTAATTAATATTTACAAAATCAGCAATTAAGTATTAACAATAATACTGTTATCTCTACCAACCCCTTTAACTGGTATTCATTCTAAGTTGTTTGCCATTTGGGATTGCCATAACTTGTTGTGCCATTCAAGCAGAAATTGCCCGTGTCCTTTTGGTGCCATGTCCAAAAATGTTGGCCAAGTTAATGCCATTTTATATCCAATCCGTCCAAAAACGACCAAAGTAAAGGTATACGCTTAGTTGTCTTATAAGATGCTAGGGTGTATTCAGACACTTTTAGTGATAAAATTTCTAACAACTATCGAAATTGAAAACTATTTTTGTAAATATATTAATAAATTTTCGTGCTTTCAATTGTACTTTTAAGAAACAGTTAAGCTATGACTATTTCAGTAGCTTTTTGTAAAAGTATTGGGACTTCGAACCAGTCTAGTCTAAGTTCAATCAGTTTATGAAGTACTGTTGCGTTACCAATCTTGAAAAAGTGCAAATAAGTTCGAAATTCGTTTGAAACTTTGGATTTTGATGCTTCAAATTTCAGTTATAAGCTGCTTTTAGTTGAAATTATCGACACCAAGTGTATTTTCCATCCTATTAGAACATGTAATTATCACATCCTTGGGTAATTATTATTTTTTGTTTTTCGTCATATGTTTTTCCTCTTTTTACGTTGAAAGGAGCAAGGTTATTAGCGCAGTTTTCGACCCAATTGAAAAATTTTAAAAATTGCATAATTTTTATAGCTTTGAGTAAAACGGGTAAAAAAACTTTAGAGTATATTCCAACTTTCCTTCAAATTTCTTTGATATTTTTTGGATAGTTTTTTTTTTCTGAAATTTTGGACCAAAAATTGTCTTGGAGGCATTTAAATTTTTTTTAAAAATTTTTCCAAAAACTTTTTTTTCCTTTTTTTCATCAATTATTGCTATTTTGCAACATCGGTAATAAATTTAAACATTTTTTTCCTCTTCAATATTCTTCCAAAATGCATAGGTTCCAAAAACTCGGATAAAATTGGTATTTTTAAAAATTTTTTAAAAATTTTTGTAATTTTGACAGATTCGACCTGGCCTACTAGGGATGAGTAAAAAGTAATTTTTCTGCCATTACTACGTGTCATTGTTTGTGGGTCTGTTAATGGGGGGTATGTAGGGCAATGGATGGTGAAGGGTGGGTCCATTTGGGTTAAAATCGATTGAATTATGTTTGTCTGGTTCTAGGCTATAAAAATCATGCATTTTTTTTTATTTTTCCAACTTGACCGAAGAAAGCGCTAAGTGACCCTCCTCCTTTTAATCATATAGCAGCTTACTATGTGGTCTAATACGTTGCGTTCTGTACAAAAATTGTAAAAATGCACTTTTGTTTTATATTGCACTTTGCCCCAGTTTTACTAACAAATTTTTAAGGCGCCTTGAAATTTTTTAGTAAAACTTCATACAGCTGTCAAAACCAAAGATTATCATGTATTATAATACTTCTGTTTTTCTAGTTATTAGGTCAGTTTTGTAAATATACTGCTAAGATTGTATTGGGTGCCTTTCCATTGTTATAAATACGACGAGATGTTGACTATTGATTTTGTATGTAGCTAGGGTGACATTGTAAATTTTTTAAATTGTGTATGTACGTATTTTAAAAATATATGTTGATTTAAATAAAACGTTTTCTCATTCCCTCTTAAACAAGAAATGTATACCCAAAGTGTTTCATCAATTACATTAACGTAAATTAATCGAGACTAAAAGGAACATGGATATCGCTTACAAGAAAAGATAACTGGAGTACACAACAGCCACCTGTGGCAGATGCATATTTATACCTGTTTTGACATAATAAATGGCTACTGATATATACTGATTGCAGCAAGAGTTATTGCAGTCAGTTGCTTAAAATTTCAATACTCATCCTTTCTTTCGTACACGATGAGAAAGCTTTTGGTAAAAAAATATAAGAATCGTTGACCAAGATATTTGTTTTGGACAACATCTTCTTCAAGTTTAGATTGTCCCAATTGAAGATCCAGAGATATTGGTTATAAATGTGAACCTCCTTGGCTTCTTGATCTTTGAATGTAGAAGAAACTGTTAAATAAGGAAGAAATACCTATTAAATAGACATTTGTATATTTGATCTAACCGTATATAAAATATAGGAAGATATTTAAGCAATCACCTAGGACTTTTCTTCCTTTTTGCCATGAAAAAGAAATTAAAATTGTAAATGAAACATGATAAATAATAGTATCTAAAATAAATGTTCAAAATGACCTCTACTGTGATCTACGTATAACCTACAAATAATTGTGTTTTAATTCATTTATTGCTTTTCTTAGTTCTCTCTTATTAATTCCATTTCTTGAGTTATTTTATTACAAATATTTTGAAAATTTAGTGGTTCTACTCCACAAAATCTTCACAGATAATAATAAAGTCTGCTTCTAAGGTAACTCCTCGAAAGTGTATACAGAGGACTTAAATTAGGGCTACTTTAGGACCACCAGATCTACAGAAGCCAAAAATTTATGTTAAGTAGATTATAAAGAAATCCCACATCCAGTTGCCAGACAATATTGTTACCAAAATTAAGGCCAAAATTAAACTGCTGCTTTTAATTTTTGTATAGGTGTTTGGTGGCCTTCAAATAGCCCTGACTTAAGTCCTCTAGATTCAGTTTTGAGGAATAACTTTAGAAGCAGACTTTGTGAAGGGGAACCATTAACTCTTTGAGATGTTCGTAATAAAATAATTCAAAAGAGAGGATTAACAAATAAATACCAGAAAATATTAAGAAAATCATAAATATTTACATTTTTTTTATGTTCCTATATGTCATAAACGATTAGACCAAATATAAAACACATGCAAGGTTTTAAGTCCGTGTCATAAATCAATGGGGTGATCTCTTGTGTCATTTTACGCTCAAAAGATTTAACAAACCAGGGGCCTAAAGTTACTGATTTCCAAGATAGAGGGTGTTCAAGTTAAAAATAAAATATCACATTTTTTCAATCATCTTTGAAGTTATTTGATGTGAATTGATGTAACTAATAAAAAATCCAAAAATATCCAGTCTTTCTTTATAAAAAACATGTTTAGTTTGCCGTGCTTTTGAGGAACACCCTCTACAAAGTTCAATACCACCATCTTAAAAAACTTCTAATTGACAGCTACAACTTTCGTAGTTATTATTATTAATTTACATTTACTTTTCTTTCATTGAAAATTAAAAAAGTTAAGCAGGACTGACTTTTATAACCGAAGACAAAGCTACTGAAATCACTGAGAGTTCCAAAACTGCAAACAATAAAAGTATTGACACTTCAAATTTTAATTTTTAAAATGAAATTACAAAATTGAAAAATGAAACACACATATTTGTAATGATGACTACTGGCCGGGTAGAAAATAAAAACGACTGTAAAAAGTTTTCCTTTTTGGAAATCAGTATCCATATCTTCATGAAAATTGCATATAATTTCCACAACTGTATATCAATCATTAATCATCCTGGTGGTGACCTTTTTATGAAGGCATACCTTGATGAAAATATAATTCGCTGTTGTGACTAAAACCGATTTGCAAAGAATGAAGTAACAGTTTCCTGTACAGCGTTATTAACACCCGATTCCTATTATACCTCCCCAAACAACTGCACCGAAAAACAAACGAAACGAAAGACGGCCAACTGGTCCCACACGCCGAATGACCAGGCAAAGGAAGCGCATTAAAACCGACTTTATTAACTCCCATTGCGGAAAGAACAATGCTAAGCGGGGAATAATCTCCAACTTACAGTTCGTAAGCCGTTTCGCTCGTTACCTTTGCATATATTTAGCCATCTGTCGATAGCTCTGGGCGGACAAGATTTCCTTTTGTGATTATCGAAGAGGAAGAGGCACGGGACAAATGCACATTCAAATTTCAGCCATGGGCGTACAGTCGCCCGCTTCGCAGCCGAGTCCTTACCCTAGAATTACACTATTGTATTGTATTGATATTGTAAGTGCATTTAAATAAGTTTTTAAAGAAAAGGAGACCCAAAAATTGGCCCTAAGTTACATTGACTTGAGGTAAGTCCACACGCAGTGGCGGCTCGCGGGTCTAAAAATAGGGAGGTCGGTTTTAAACAGATAACAGTCTACAACTTTCTCTAAAGTAGTTTATCTGGTTTATAAACAATTTCTCTATACTTACTTCACCAGACCAAAAACCACACCAAACAGTTACTTTTTGTGGATGCACTGGTTGTTCCAATATTACTCATGTCAGATACGACAATTTGGTTTGTTTACATATCCACCAATTTCAAAATGAGCTTCATCGGTAAAGATGACTTATTCAAAAAAATCATAATATATTATTTCGCTGCATGAGCCCAATTAACAAATGTAAGGCGTAATACAACTTAATGCCTTTAGACTTTAAAATAATAAATCTGAGTAGCTTCAACCTTAGACTAACAAAAAGGTACTCTTGTTTATTGTCGATAAATTGAACCGTTTACGAGAAAAATAATAATAAAAAAAAGGGCCATGATTTCTATTTTTTTTTCTCGACAACAAATTAACATCTCTGACACATTGATCCTTTACTTCGTTATTAATTTACCGATTTTTGGATTTCGTAGTGAATTTAATTGTGAATTAATTCGAAATATGGAATACATGTTTATTGTGTGTATCCAGATATACATCTCATGTATGGTATTGCGTCTTGGAATGCTTTACAAGCCAAAAGGTTATATCACGACAGATTTCCTAATCGTGCTCTGCCAAGCCAGAAGACATTTCAACGAGTTGACCAACGTCTAAGGGAGAATGGTGGGCGATTCCAGTTAATAAGGTAATACATATTATTAACTTTCTTCATATTCGTAAGAAAATTTTGAAAAATAATACTGATGCTGGTTTGAGAAGAACCATACGTACGCCGCAATTAGAGAAAAATATTTTAATTGCTGTAGAAGACACTCCATCATCAGCACAGTTTAATACACCGAAAACAATAGTACATGATGTTCTTCAAGGATAGCTGTTACGTCCATACCATTTGCAAAAAATACATGAACTGATTCCTGAAGATTTTCCTCGTAGAATACAGTTTGCAAACTGGCTATTGGATCAGCAACGATATAATGTAAACTTCGTTAGCACTATCTTTTCACGGATGAAGCAAGGTTTACCAAAAATGGTATCACAACACACATGTATGGGCTGATAAAATCTTCATGCCACTATTGTTTCGCATCATCAACATCAGTTCCAATCAATTAACATCTGGGCAGGAAATATTGGCAATTTTTTTATTGGACCATTCGTATTGCCGGAACGACTGAATGTTCAACTTTATTTGGAGTTCCTTCAGAACGCTTTTCAAGATTTAATAGAACCCTTACCGAAACCCGTCGAAACATGTACTTCATGCACGATGGTGCACCACTTCATTTCAGTGTTGGTGTGTGGGAGCACCTGAATAACGTCTATCCAAACCGTTGGAGAGGTAGCGGGGGACCTATTGCCTGGCCTCCTCGATCTCCCGACCTAACGCCTCTGGAGACACCTCAAACAATTGGTGTATTCCACTCCGGTCGACACTATGGAGGAACTTCTACAGAGAATCACGTTTCATTGTGATGTGATAAGGAACAATGCTGTTTAAGTGAAGTGAAGTTTATTTGGTTTTTAAATCAATCTGCCTGAAATAATTGAGACACTATTTATTGATTACTGATACCAAGTCTCTGCTTAATCTCAGAAAGGA